TAAATTTATCTATGCTTGTACAAACAAGGAAATGATTTCTATCATCTATTTCTTTAATCTCACTAATGCAAATAAATGATGTTAAATTTCAGAGTACCTTTGACTTCCTGATCATGACAAAACATAGTTGCCAAAGTGGTTTTCCCGCATCCTCCAGGAGCCGTGAGCACAAATATTGACACCGGTTCCTTAAGAAGCTTCATCTTCAGATCCTCCAAAGGCTCCTTCAAGCCAACAGTAACCAGCGGAAGCGAAGGTACTGCACGCCGAACCCCGATTTGATTTTGATTTTGTGCCACAACATTTCCATCAATTCGGTTGAGCAGCATCGCCGAATGGCTTCCTAACTGCACTGTCAGTATACTTAAGAGTCTACAGAGAGAGTCATCCAATGCCTGAATTTTGTCGGTGTATTCGCGCTGTTTGATGAAGTTCATGTTGTGAATTAGAACTAACTCACTCCCCTTAAGACCTTGTTGTTGATGAACTTTGGACAAACTCAATGATGGATGAGTCTTACACACACACACAGAAAATTAACCAAGCACAAATGACACAAGTGTTTATAGAGGTTCAGCAATGTCCCTACATCCTCTTTGGTGATCACCTTGAGAAATTTCACTAATGAAGATAGGTTACAACTTTGGTTTACACAGAAACCCCCTTAAAACACTACCCTCACAATCTGTTTCTCTCTCACCCTTTGCTCAACACCTTGATACAATAGAGAACTCTCTCTTCCCCTGGTTTTCACTTGACTCACTAGTTTCCAGCTACTTCACCTCCTCTTTTGCTGTCTTGCTTCCTCTTCCCTTTAATAGACAAGTCTTTGGACTTGAGAAAAGACTCCTTCTTTCCTCCCACGTTCTGCCCTTGATTACCTGAAATGGACCACATGTTGGGCAGACCAAAGGCTATACATTAATAGCTACAAGTTCAGCCACCCTATATAGAACCATAGGGTAGGTACTCTTTGAAACAAGTCAACAACTGTCCTTTAATTGCTCCCTCAACTTCCCAGTAGCTTGCCCCCTTTCATTTAAGTCTGGAGTGACCTAAAATGACCTTGCAAGTAGGTAGAAAGTGATAGCAACCATATAGAGGAGTTGAGATTTCCCAAAAAACGAAACAGCACGATCAAGGCGACTGGTCGCATTTTGGCAGAGTCGTAAGCAACTGGTCGCTTGAAGCTGGCGACCGGTCGCCAGCAACTTTCGCTCCAGACTTCGAATATGCCTGAAAACGACCAGTCGCTAGCTTCGTGCAATCAGTCGCTTTTAGGCAGAGTCTCCAACCACCGGTCGCTTGAATCTGGCGACCGGTCGCTTCCTGTTCTGTCTCCGGGGCTTATATCCTTTATGAGAGCCAATTTTCCCAACAGTTCAACCTACACACCTCACATCACTCTTCAACCAGCCTCTTGCCCTCCTCCATTTTTGTTGTAAAATTTTGTAGGCTCTTCTCCAGGTGAACCAAATGATTGGCAGATTGTGCTAGCTGTATAATCAGTGGTTGTAAAGAGTCTAGCGTGATATTGAGATTTCTGAGGGGTGTTTGAAACATCTTAGCCATGGGCTTCGCTTTTAGAACTGCAGAAAATAGAATTTCAAATGCTGCTCCTAGAGCAGACCCTACAACTAAAGTAACCGGATCCATAATTACAACAACAACTCAGATATGAAAGTTGTTAGGATCGGATAGTGCTAGAATGGAAATCTTCACAACTCAAATAACAGTATAAGCAGAAAAATAAAGAACACCAGGAATTAATGTGGTTCGGCAATGCCTACGTCCACGGGGCAGCAGTATAAACTTCTTCCACTATAACAAAATAATGGGTACAACAGGAAAGATCTTACCAAGCCAATGCCCAGGGCTTAATGATACACACAGAGAAAGTACAATGACACCACACTATTGTTGGAAATATGGCTCACATTAAGGTTGTAAGTGAAGCAGGATGCGACCGGTCGCAAGGGATTGGCAACCGGTCGTTTTGAAGCAGAGTTGAAGAAGTTGGAATTCACAGCAAGCGACCAGTCGCCAGGTAGTTGCGACCGGTCGCTTCAGGCAGATTGCAAAGCGACCGGTCGCCAGACGTGCTGTTACGTTTTTCCACGCGTTCTTTCAAGGTGTCTTCACATGTGTTTGTTTTCTACCTAATCCCTCGAGCCTCTAAGGTGTTTTATGGGTTCTAGGAAGTCTAGCAAGGTGCTGGAAAAGCTGGAACACCATTGAATGATGTTTGTTGACTTGCTTCAAGGAGTACCTACCCTATAGCTCTAGATAGCGTGGCTGAACATGCAGCCTCTAATGACTAGCCTTTGTTCTGCCCAAGTTGTGGTCCAAGTCTGGAAACCAAAGGGAGAACGTGGGAGAAAAAGATGGAGCCTTCTCCTAGGTCCAAAGGCTTGTGTATTAAAGGAAAGAGGAAGCAAGACAGCAAAAGCGTGGTTAATCTCAAGGGGTGGTCAAGTAGCTGGGAGCTAGAGTGTCCACAAGAGGTTAAACTCACCAAGGGAGGAAGAGAGAGAGGGCAATCTGTTTATGCCTGATAAATCACGGCCATAAGCTGGCCGAAGGAGCCCCTTCTCTCGGCCCTGGCACTTGTTCATAAAAACTGAAACGCAGTGTTTCGCCAGGGTACTTCGCCTTCCTAAAGATAAAAGAAGAAATGCTGAAGGCATGATCATCTCGGCCTCAAGCACAGGCCGAGGCCGAGGCCGAACAAAATCATGGTCAAGGCATTAAAGGCAAATCATCACATGACAGCAGGGTCCCAGGCTTCATTTAATGAAGTAGTGCCTGTTTAATGCAGCAAACCCATTGGCCACAAAGAAGCATTTAATGCATGAGGGAAGGTGGGAAGTGACTGAAGTCAGAATTTGGTGATGAGGATCAGAGTGATTAGACGTGGACATTCTCACAAAAATTCTGACAGCCTGAGATATTGGTTCAACAGCTATCCAGGCCATAAATGCGTCTCCACGGCCAGAAGCTCAGAACCCACGATCAAGAGCGGCGGCCGAGATTCACCGGGATTTCTGGGGTCACACCACCATACTTCACGATCCCAAATGTCGATTGGACACCCACTTGCGCTAATCAGACTCCACTATGCGTAAATTCA